GGGTTGATGCTCAACCACTGAGCCACACTGGCCAGGCCTGTATGATCTTCTTTATATGTGGAATCTAAACAAAACATACTCACAGAAAAAGAGACCAGATTTGTGGTTACCAGAAGTGAGGGGCAGGGGAAGGGGAATCAAAGGAAAGTTGTCAGAGGGAACAAACATTCAGTTGTAAGATAAATTCTAGAGATGTAATGTAAAACATAATGATAGTAGTTAACGCTGCTGTATGATATACAGGGAAGTTGTTAAGAGAATAGATCCTAAGAGTCCTTATCACAAAGAAACATTTTTTTCTTTCCTTTTTATTGAACCTATATGAGATGATGGATGTTAACTGAACCTACTGTAATCATTTCACAGTATATGGAAATCAAATCTTCATGCTGTATGCCTTAAACTTATACAATGATGTATGTCAATTATTTCTCAATAAAACTGGAAATATTTTTATAAACAATAGGAAAAAAAGAATGGCCTATATGCAAATTAAATGACCCTGAAATCCATTAGTCATTATTGAAATACAAATTAAAGCTACAATATAAAATACTACTACACACCCCCTAAAATGGACAAAATTTAAGAATGCCAAGCACTGGCAAGAATGTGGAACAATTGGAACTCTTATATATTAGTGAAAGGAATGCAAAATGATACATTTGATCTAGAAAACAGTTTGAAAATTCCTTATGAGGTGAAAAATATATATGTCCCATCGATTCCATTCCTGGGTATTTATACTAGAGAAATAAAAACATGTTCACAAAAATATGTGTACACAAATGTTCCTAGAAATATTATTCATAATAGACAAACCTGGATACGACTCAAATGACAATGAACAAGTGAATGGACATACAAATTGTGGTATATTCATATGGGCGACAGCATGGATGAATCTTATACACATTATGTTGAATAAGAAATGACAGACATAAAAGAGAACTTACTGTATGACTCAATTTCTATGAAACTCTAGTAAAAATAAATTTAATATATGACAGAAAGCAGACCAATGTTTGCCTGGGCCTGGGAGTAGGGGAGGTTAACCTGGTTGGGAAACAAGGGAACTTTTCTATACTTTGATGTGGTGTGGTTGGCTACACAGGCATATAAATTTACCAAACTCATAAAAATGTATACTTTAAACTGTATTAATATGTCTGTAAATTATACCTCAAAAGTTCATTTTTTAAAAATCAGGGAAATACAAATGAAAACCACAAAATACCATTATACACCCACCAGGATGGATACGATTAAAAAAGGCAGACCATTCCATGTGTTGGTGAGGATGCAGAGCTACCAGAACTATTAATTATGATTAATTGGAATGTTAATTGGTAGAGCCATTTAAAATACTGTTTGGCATTCTATGATCCCTGCCTCCTGATGTTGATGCCATTGTGTAATCCTCTCCACTTGAGAGGATTTAACCAACAAAATATGGCAAAGGGGAAGAGAGGTCACTGCTGTGTGATTATGTTACATTATGTAAGGCACTGTCTTGTTAGCAGACTTGCTCTAGAGACTACTTGCTGGATTGATGAAGTGGCCATTTTGGGGAAACCCACATGGCAAAGAACTTTGGGCAGCCTGAAGAAGCTGAGGGCAGCTGCTAGGAACTGACTGAAGCCTCTAGGAACTGAGGGTGGCCTCCAGCTGACTACCAGAAAAAAGCTGGGCCCTCCAGATCACAACCATAAGAAAATGAATTCTGCCAACAGCCTGAGTGAGCTTGGAAGTGGATTCTTCTCCAGTTGAGCCTCTACATGAGAACCAGCTTGGCTGACACCTTGGCTGCAGTTTTGTAAGATTCTAAGCAGAGCCTTATCCACTGAAATGGTAAGATAAGTGTATGTGTGTGTGATCATTTGTTATACAGCAATAGAAAATAAATACAGTGTCCAATGACCATTCCAGCCATAAGTGTGTCTTTCTGTGTTACAGAAGCTAAAATGCTAAAAGTACACTTCCCAGATTCCTTTGCAACATAGGTCAATCAGATGCATACTTGTGAGACTTGAATGACAGAAGGGAGGTGGAGGCTATACTTCTGCCATTTATCCTGGTAAACATAGTTGTGAAGATGGTTGTCTATTGCAGTTTAGTCACTACCTTGTGGGTACTGAGAAGTTTGGCATCTGTTTTGTTGGTATAAACCAAAGCAGGTGGAGCATGATTCTGGAGGTAGCAGCTGTAGTGTCAGCTTCTCATCATGACAGTAGGAAGTAGCAGTTTCCTAATCATAGAAGAGTTAGCAATTCCCTTGGTGGATTGGTTCTCTCATGTAGCTTTGGAAGTTGTTCTTGAAAGCTCAATTTAGAGTCAGTTCTCTTGATAATTCTGTAAGTTACTTAATATTTGGTAATAAATCTTTGCCTGACTAAACTAATTAGAGTGAATTATGTTCTGTGCAACTGAAACTTAACTAATACAAGAAGGAAGTCCTCAAGTGATAACTGAGTTAAGTGTTAATAAAAGTACATTGTAACAAATAACAGTAATATCTTTAAGTATACCATTTTTCATGTTTATTATAATATATTTATAATATTTATTTTTATAAAGACAAGAAAAGCCACTTTATAACATATTTAATGTATAAGATATAATGTACTGGTTCAGTTTGAAACAGCTACATAAGATTTTTAATATTAAGAACAATTCATTTGCTCAGCAAGGTAGCAACTATAAAACTATGTTTAGCTTATTTTTCCTACAGACTCAGAAAATGTTTGTCTTTTTAACTTGCATGTATAGTCTTTTTGCAACTGCAAAATCTCTTTAAGTATTCCATTTTAATTAATCTAGGATATATATGATATTAATCTTCAATATTCTGACCTTAAATATCAAATATTAATAGTATATGTTAAGAAAGTGTTTTTATAAATACAATTGACAAAATATTCAGCAAAATATGTGCAATAGTGCTTTTGTATATAAGCATAGAGCCTGTGTCTTTCTAGAGCTACTGAAGTCTAATTTATCAATCATTGCATAATAGCAAATGTATGGTAATTTACATATAAACTACTAACTAAACTCTAAAATGTAGGTATGTTTCAGCATATCATCTCTGAGAAAAGGCATACATACTATTTACCAACTATTTATTTTAATGGTAATTTCCTTGAAAAGACAAGGTTGACAAATTCATTTAAAAAGACATCATTTTAAAGACACTACTTGTAAGAGTTTGGTCAAGTCCAATTTATGAAATTTTCAAAGGATCTACTTAAAAATTTTTGAGTCTGCCCTGGCCGGTTTGGCTCAGCGGTTAGAGCATTGGCGTGCGGTCTGGAGAGACCCGGGTTCGGTTCCAGCTAAGGCACGTACCTTGGCTGGAGTTTGTCCCCGGCCCTGGTTGGGTTGTGTGGGTGGCAACCACTCAATGTGTCCCTTCCACGTCGATGTTTCTCTCTCTATCTCTCTCCCCCACTGTATCTGAACAAAATATCAAAAATGTCCTTGGGTGAGGATAAAAAAAAAATTCTTGAGTCTTTCTGAAAATAATATATTCTATGGTGACAAAACCCTCTGTGTTAGGCCTTGTTCACAGTAGATTCTTATCAAAGGCTGACTATACCAATTTCTTTTTCAGAAAGGGAGACTTCTTGGATCATTTTAAAGGACGTCTACCCTAACATTGTTTCATATCTGAAAAGTCAAAGGGCTTAACACCAAAGTCTTTTTTGAAGAAAGAAGCTCAATGGATGATTTTTTCCCACAATTCCAAAATCAATTGATTAATAAATTGCTCCTGTCAGAAGTGTAGTTTATTTTTTCTTTAAAGTGCTAATGAAGCCCACTATTTTTACATAAATTTACTGTGATGACTGATATATAAGCAGTACAAAGTATGTAGAAATTATATATCTAAATCAGATAATCAAAAATTTTTAGATAGATACCAGAAATTCTATAGACTATCTTAACAACCATTACGCACAAGTATACTTAATGAACTTGCCAGACTAATAAAATAATTTAGTCTATCTAATGTAACTTAAAACATGACTGGTGAAAACCCAAAATCTAAAGCTAGAACCAAAGCAATCACAGGCTATTCTGAGACAAATGCCACAAACAGCAGTGCTCAGAAGAATTTCAAGTAATTTCTCAGTTTAATGAGAAGCAGTTAATTGAAGTTTCTTAACCCTTCTGAAAATGCTGGTTTTATCCAGCTTAGATCCAAATTCAATATTGTTTTTCCTTATATTAGCCCAGAGTTTTGAGTTCTTGATTTATTTTCTATCAGTAAAAGAGTTAGAAGCGTGAATCAGAAGATTCTGAACCACTCAGGTAGGGTGATTTCAGAAGTTACGAAAATAAAATATTTATTATTAGAAGACCAAATGAGATTAACTTTAAAAAGTTAATATTATTTCAGTTAGATAACTTGAAAATGAGCTCCCACCCCCCAACCAATTAGGTAATCTTATCATTAAGGCCATAAGAGGCTGGTTTTCTAAAGCATTCTAATAGGACTGCAGCAATTTGGAAATTAGCATTCATCAGTAAAATATCATCATCACTAGTACTCAAACATTAACACCACATTTTCAAAATTATCAGTAATTCATATGTAAACAGCAGCACAAACTAGTAATTACTTGACCAAAAGTGATATGTTGGTATGCCCTGGTGGTATCATTTAGCATACTCCTCTTATATTGAATATCTTGTAAAGGTAAAGGGATTAAGAAGTACAAATTGGTAGTTACAAAGTAGTCACCAGGATGTAAAGTACAGCATAGGAAATACAGTAGATAATATTGTAATAACTATATATGGTGCCAGGTGGGTACTGGAAATATAAGGGGGATCACTGTATAAAGTATATGATTGTCTAACTACTATGCTGTACACCTAAAACTAATGCAAAATAATATTGAATGTAAACTTTAATTGAAAAATAAAATTTTTAAAAATTACACTTGTATTGGAGAATATCAAAATTAGAGATTGCCACAAAGGAATGATTCACTGTGTTTCCAAATATTTTTTTTAAACCTTCAAACACATTGGTTAACATGATAAATCCCTGATTTCTACTCCCAGGAATCAAGTTGACAACTACAAGAATCTTAGTAAGTTTGTCTGATAGGCAACTCCTGTTCAGAGATTTACATCTTGTATCTAGAACTTAACTGAGCGGTTTTTGCATTTTCTAGTTTGGCTTTTACATCTATGGGTTTCTCAAAGTACCTCACCACTGCTGGTTCATTCAACAAAGATGCAAGAATCTGTTCAAATGCAAATGACCACTGAGGTTCTTCCCTGAGCAAGGAGGGATCTTTCTCCAAGGGGCTCTCTGTTTTCCCCTCACTGGGTCCTCCAGAAACACAAACTGTACCAGAGAATCCTTTGGCTGATGATGCAGGGCAATGAAGTGTCCTTCCAACTTCTTCCATTCTGAGCAAAAGGCTGGTTACAACAGCAATGGCTTGATATAACAACTCTTCTTCAGGGTCCCCATGAAATAAGTTATAAAGGGTTTTTGAAAACTGAATAAATTGTGACTAGAAGACACAAGTTAGAAACCACATTTTATATTAGATTTAGCAAATATAAAGAGAAATTAGAGTAAATAGTCACCTATTTAGAATTTGTACCATATAACATTCAACACAGAAGTTACAGAACTGATGATCAATCCCCAAATGAATCTTGGTTCTAGAAAGACAGATGTCAATAATAGAATAAAATTCCATTTAAGTCATTTCATTTGTTGCCCAAGAGCAGTATATTATACATACAATAGTTTATGGGCAATTTACCTGCCAGCATTCTTTCAATGTTAGTTGGTATTTCTAATTAGGCAAAGTCTCATATTTCCCTACATGTAAATCATTAATTCATTAATCAATCTTAAAGGTTAAGATGAGGTACCCTTGATCTCCCCAAAGGGCTAGAGTGAGTAGCTCAACTAGGATGACTTAAATTTAGGGGAAAATGTTTTGGGATCTATCTAGTGGTACAAGGTAGCTCTAAGAAGCCCATTTGTACGTGTTTCTCTTTAAAGGCTGGGTAGGGCCCAAGTGGAGAAATCAACTGGTTTGTTTGCTAATTGTTCCTAGATAATCATAAATATTCCTAAAAAAAAAAATCTGTCAATTAAAAACAAGATTGTAACACATGAGTCCTATAAGTCAATCCTACCAGAAAAGTTTATCTATAAATTAAAAGCAAATACAAAGAGTGTATTTCATAAAAATATATTGTTCCAGCCCGGCCAGTGTGGCTCAGCGGTTGAGCATCAACCCATGCACCAAGAGGTTGCCAGTTCAATTCCTGGTCAGGGCACATGCCCAGGTTGTGGGCCAAATCCCCAGTGGGGGCATGCAGGAGGCGGCCAGTAGATGTTCTCTCTCATCGATGTTTCTATCTCTCTCTCCCTTTCCCTTCCTCACCTTCTAAAATCAATAAAGAAAAAAAAATTAAATATATATTGTTCCACCCTGGTCAGTGTAGCTCAGTTGGCTGTGCATCATTCCATGCACTAAAAGGTTACTGGTTCAATTTCTGGTCAGGGCACATGCCCAGGGTTCAGGCTTGATCCCTGGTAGGGGACATGCAGGAGGCAGCCAATCAATGTTTTACTCTCAGGTCTCACATAGATTTCTATTTCTCTCTCTCTCTACCCCTTCCTCTTTCTCTAAAAATCAACAAAAATATTTACAAAAATATATTCAGATAGTCTCAAAGTTTTAAGTTCATTTCTCTCTTTTCCTTAGTCTATAGTACTGCTTATTTATAAAAATTTTTAGAATAAGTACATCCCATTAATTCATTTTTAAAATAGTTCTCATTTTGGTAAAGTTCTGGGAATATTAAGTATCCATACTAACAGATTTTTAATTTAAAAGTTATAATAACATGTAAACAACAGATTTTCAAGGACAAATTATATACAGTGACTAAGGTCCCAGACATCAAATTGAGTGGTCCATTATTAGAACTGAGGCACAAAGTCAGAAACCAATTTAGGAGCAAAAATCATAATGCTGCATCACAGAATTCCTTATATTACTGTTATCTTTCCTCAATATTGGTCCTAAAGATTAGAGCAGGGTTGAATATGCCTTGGGGTTCAAGTACGATTAGCACTGAAGAGGAATGTACTGCAAAATCCAGCCAACAACACTGAGAATTGGTCCCTAACCTCATCACTTACACTGTAAGAGCTAAGAGGGGAATGGAGGAGATGTTTCCCTAGAAGAAGCATGAGTTACTGTTTTACCAAAGGAAGAGTTTATGGATATTGCGTTGGCAAAAACAAATGCTGTCCTCTTCTGTGTGTTTAAACACAGTGCTATTGTCTAATGAAAAAGGAATAGAAATATTATGGTATGTATTCTGAGAGATTTAAGCTCTAGATCCATCCAAGGTCATTAACTGCAGTAGAATTCATTGATTTTAATGTCTTGGATAAGATTAATGTCTTCACAGTTTGTTGAAAATTCTAAGTGAACTTAAAAATATATATATAATAACAGCAAAGCTGGTGTGGCTCAGTGGACTGAGCGTCCTCCCATGGACTGACAGGTCCTGGTTTGATTCCTCGTCAAGGCACATGCCCAGGTTGTGGGTTGGAAGCAGCCAATCGATGTATCTCTCACATCAATGTTTCTATCTCTCTCTCCCTTCTGCTCTCTCTCTAAAAAAAAAATCAATAAAAACATATAAAAATTATAACATATACTGACTAAATACTTTGTAAGAAAGACTGATTTAGAGTTATGTCAATACTAGTCATTGAGCAGGTTCAAATACAACATGATTAGGAACCAGGTTGTGATTTATCTAATTTCTTATTCATAGTACCTAGCATTGGGTATATATCTAGTAAGCACTAAAAGTTTACTGAATAAATAAAATTTTCTAATAAAGCTGGAAATAGAAAACACTGAAATATATGTTATACATATCCATCTTTTCTATATATACAAATGTCATAGCATAGAAACTACACTGAAACATGAGGCATTTAAGTATTAAAAATAATTTTATTTCATTCTTCTGTGCTCATCTGAAACTTAGAGATAATACACAGATGATTTAACTTTTTTTGGAAAATAGCATGCTAGCTATTTTAGAGTTGGATACACCCACATGCATAAAAATAACATCAAAAACTTAAATTTTTTTCTTTGAAAGCACAATACCTGTTTCATTCTTGGTAAATCCTTAATGTTTTCTTCTTTTTTGAAAAGCTCATCTTGCCATTGATTAAGATATGCTTGAATATCAACTTTTCCTTTGCCTGAATGAGGAAAAATAAAACCACTTTCATAATAAACAGCCCACTATATTTTCCCAAATCTCAAAAAATAAATGACAAAACAATTATTATTGAAAGATTTTTCACTGAGTAATAAGATTATTTTACCTTTTTTAAATCCAGGAAATTATATGAATTAAACTTTTATTTCACCTACTGGCTCTCAGGAAATTTCTCCATTTCCATTAAACTAAAACTTACTTCAGGAAGGTTTGGGACTAAGGGAGATATGAAGCAAGATAGAGAAGTATGCATTTTAGATTAAATGGTACACCCTGGCTTGATGATGTAAATTTCATGTAGATGTTTTCATGAACACTACTAAATTTAAAATAGCTTATAAATAAACTTCTTCTTTTTTTTTTTTTTATCCTCACCCGAGGACATTTTTCCATTTTTTGTTCAGGTAGAGTGGGAGGGAGAGAGAGGGAGGGAGAGAGAGGGAGAGAGAGAGAGAGTGAGAGAGAGAGAGAAACATTGACGTGAAAGGAACACATCGAGTGGCTGCCACCCGCACGACCGACCAGGGCCGGGGACAAACTGCAACCGAGGTACGTGCCCTTAGCGGGAACCGAATCCGGGTCTCTCTGGACCGCAGGCCGACGCTCTAACCGCTGAGCCAAACCGGCCAGGGCTATAAATAAACTTCTTAATATGCAAATATTAAGTGATCTATGGAGGCTCTTTTTGAAAAATTCAAACCACAACTTATTCATTCTTTGAAAAGTTTAATTAAGGTGATATTCATAATTATCAAAATATTAAATGTCCCTACTATTTGAGACCCAGAATTCTCATACCAATATAAATTTGTCCTATCCTAACAAAATATGTGTAAAAGTATACTAAAATGTAAGAATAATGTTTCTTGCAGTAGAATTTATAATATAAATCATTAGAAACAACCTAAATATCCATCAACACTGGGCTAGTTATTAAAATAAATTATGGTATGAAGATCCAAGACAGTGGCAGAGTAGGTGGAAGTTACACTCACCTCCTCCTAAGCCCAAAATGGAATTGCAACTCAATTATAGAACAATCAACCTGAATAACCAACAGAAGACTAGCTGAACATGTCTTATAACCAAGGTTTTAAAGAAGCCACATGGAGACTGGTAGAAAGGGCAGGGATTCAAAAAGGGCGGGCCCTGCACCCACAGGAGGTGGCTGAGAATCCAGATGGATATTTCAAAAGCAAAGTTCCCCCCAAGGAGCGTGGAGTCTTAATCCCACGCAGGGCTCCCCAGCCCAGAGCACTATAGGATAGAAGAGGAAGCCACAAAACATCTGGCTGTAAAAATCAGTGGGGATTCTGCCCACCGGGAAGAGACGGGGGTCCGCTAGAGACACAGGCGCTTTCTTAAAGAGCCAGTGCACAAAATCTTATTTGCAGCCACTAACCCTGGGCTCCAGTGGAGAGAGGGAAGAACAGACTATAGTTGTGTGAGGACAGACTGAGGTTTGTGGATCTGAGGAGAGAGTTGAAGGGACAACCACCAGGGCTCTGTGCTGAATCATTCTCTCACTCCATTCCTTACAGCATCAGCCTGCGGGAATGTAATAGCCATTCCCTCTAAAATCCCTACTGCCACACTCTGCAGAGCTCTAGCCCTTCTGTGGAGTCAGCTGCCTAAGCCCAAGATCTAGAGGTCCAGGCAGATTCATGGTGTGCCAGGGACTGAGTTGTGTGGCTCTGGAACAGAGGTGATTCCCACCACCTTCCTGACAACCTGACTGGCGCCACCCTTCCCCCACGGGAGGTGCACTAGTGTCACACTCCCAAACCCAGGCAGCCCCTCCCTGCCAAGCTTGTGCTCTTCAAACGGTCAGGGCAGAATCAAGGACAGACTGAGTTGTGTGGCTCTAGGAAGGGGGTCATTTTTACTTTGCATACCAAACGACTGTACAACTCTCCCTTTACAGAGCCAAATCTTGGTCTGTTTGGGCTTGATAAACTGCTGGCCTCCCCCTGATGACTCCCTGAGACTATGCTCCACCACAAAGGTCTTTGGGCTACTGGCGAGTGGTAGTTGGTCTCGGTGTACACTGAGACTTTTTTTGAATGGCCTCAGACCCAGTCCTGGCACTAACTTTAAATCTGTATAAACTTGGTTAACACCACTTGCCCCTAGCTGGTGACTCACTGAGAACATGGCTCATGTAACTAGCATTCCACTGTGCCACCAAAAGCTTTTTCAGTGACTGAGCCTAACAGGCAGCCAACAAACATAGGTGGAACTCAGGGTGCCTTGGGCCTTTTGCTGATCTGCCCCCGACCTTCGTGTTAGTGTAATCTAGCCTTGGTGCACAGGTTGGCCGATCCTACGCACACTCAGGCCCAGCAGAGGCAGCCACAAACTGTGGAACTCCCTGTAGCTCCAAACAGGTAGCCCATGGCCGGTCATAGGCAGTACCTGACATTTACCTGCACCAAAGTCCCTCAGAAAAGGCCCCAGAACCAACCCAAACTGTAGCAGGATTCAGACATCAGAGAACAACTCAACTATCTCCACAATCGGCACACCCAAAGGGAGATCTGGTAGGCACCAGGCTCTGCTGGGTTGAATTCCACTTCATAGGGTCAGCCCCCCACAGCAGCTCATACACTCTGGTTGGGGTTGATCTTCATAGTCACCAAGCCCGAGGGTCAACCCGACCAACAGATGGGCCAAGAGCAATCAAGATTCAACTACAATAGGAGGCTTTACACAACCACACAAGGGACAGTCTTGGAGTACCCAGCTCAGGTGATTAGGGAGACAGCCCCACTAAGCCCATACAATACCTACTACATAAGGACACCATACCAAGACTGGGAGAGAGAGCAGATCTACCTAGTACACAGAATCAATTACAGAGAGGCAGCAAAAAATAAGGAGACAAAGAAATATGCCCTAAATGAAGAAACAGGAGAAATCCCCAGGAAAAAAACAAACAAAAAAACCCACCTAAATAAAATGGAGGCAACCAATATACGAGATTACCAGATACAGAGTTAAAAAGAAAGGTTATGAAGAGGACCAATTAACTTAAGCAAAAAAATGGATGAACACAGTGAGAACTAAAGGACATAGCAAACGTAAAAAAGGACATAAATACAAAAAAAAAACAAACAAACAAAAACAAACAAAAAACCAGTCAGAAATGAGTAATATAATATCTCAAATAAAGAATACACAAGAAGGAATCAACAGCAGGCTAGATGAAGCAGTGGATCGAATCAGCAATTTGGAAGACAAGGTAGCATTAAATACAGTACCTAACCAGAGCAGCAAAAAGAATTAAAAAATAATAGGATAGTTTAAGAAACCTCTGGGATAACATGAAACATAACAACATCTGCATCATAGAAGGAGAAAAGAGAGAGCAAGGGATTTAGAACCTATTTAAAGAAATAATAACAGAAAATTTCCCCAACCTGGTGAAGGAAAAAGACATACATGTGAAGGAAGTACAAAGAGTTCCAAACAAAATTAAAGGGTCTTTTTAAAGAAAAAGATGAAAAAAAGGTGAAAAGTATGAATAAAATGGCAACAAACACATATCCATCAACAATTACTTTAAATGCAAATGAATTAAATGCTTTAATCTAAAAACATATGGTGGCTGAATAAATAACAATACAAGACCCTTAGATATGCTGTTCACAAGAGACTCACTTCAGGTGGAAAGACACACAGACTGAAAGTAAAGGGATAGAAAAAGATATTTTATAAAAGTGGAAACAAACAAACTGTGGTAGGAATACTTATACCAGACAAAACAGACTTTAAAACAAAGGCTATAACAAGAGACAAGGAAGAACCCAACAATAACACTTTTGAGTATTTATCCAAAGAAACCCAAATCACTAAATTGAAAAGACATATGCATCCCTATGTTTACTGCAGCATTATTTACAATAGCTAAGATATAAAATCAATCTTAGTGCCCATCAATAGATGAATAGATAATGAAGAAGTGGTGTATATATACAATGGAATATGACTTGGCCATAAAAAAGAATGAAATCTTGCCATCTGCAACAACATAGATGGACCTAGAGGATATTATGCTGAATGAAATGAAATACTATGCAGCTGTAACAAAGAGAGATCTCTTATCCTTTGAGACGACATGGAGGGACCTGGAGAGTATTATGCTGAGTGAAATAAGCCAGTCAGAGAAAGACAAATACCATATGATTTCACTTATATGTAGACTCTAAAGAGCAAAATAAGCAAACAAACAAAACTGAAAGAGCCTCACAGATACAGAAAACATACTGATGACTGCCAGAGAGTTGGGGGATTGGGTGAAAAAGGTGAAGGGATTAAGAAGCACAAACTGGTTGTTACAGAATAGTCATGGGGATGTAAAGTACAGCATAGGGAATATAGTCAATGATATTGTAATAACTATGTATGATGCCAGATGGGTACGAGATTTATAGGGTGATCACTTTGTAAGTTATATAAATGTGTGATTACTGGGTTGTACACCTGAAACTAATATAATATTGTATGTAAACTATAATTGAAAAATTAAAGTAAAATGTCACAGAAAAGGGGAATCTGCTTTTCCCCTTTGTTTAAACAAACAAACAAAACAATAACATTTAAATTATATTCTTAGATCATAGTACCTTTTTCAGGGCTGTTTTTTACTGATTCTGCTTCCTTCTCACTTGCAGGTTTGGAAACTAAATGAAAAGAGGACAATTGCAATTTGTAAAATATTTAACAGATAGCTTTTGTAAAATAATATCTCATATTAAGACTTTTAAGCACATTATTTTCTTCAATTCAGAAAAACAATTTCAGCTGACCTGGCCTCCTATCATTAGAAGACTAAGTATTCAAGCTCGGCCTGAAAGACTCATTTGGTTGAGTGTCATCCCGTGCACAGAAAGGTTGTAGGCTCGATTCCTGGTCAGGGCACATACCTGGGATGTGGGTTTGATCCCCAGTCCTGAAGTGTATAGAAGACAACCAATAGATGTTTCTATTTCTCTTTCTCTTCCTTTCTTCCCCACCCCCCATCTCCCTCTCCCCCCAAGCATGACCTCAGGTGAGGATTAAAAAAAAAAGTGAAGCCTGGCCAGTTGGCTCAGTGGTTGAGCATCGACCCATGCACCAAGAGGTCGCCGGTTCAATTCCCAGTCAGGGTACATGCTCAGGTTGTGGGCCTAATCCCCAGTGGGCAGCATGCAGGAGGAGGCCAGTTGATGTTCTCTCTCATTGATGTTTCTATGTCTTTCTCCCTTTCCCTTCCTCTCTCTCTAAAATCAATGAAGGAAAAAAAAAAAGACAAAGTATTCAAGAACTTTTATAGTAAAAAGCACACTAAGGGAAAATCCATATAAAAAAAATTCCTAGGAGGAAGTATAGCAAATATTAAGTATTTATTTCTGAGTGGTATTTTCTTCTTTGTGACTTTCCTCAAATTAAATTGTATTACTTTTAATAGGAAAAAAAAAAACATACTGGAAGTCAGAAAGCTGAGCTAAATGTCCTAATTGTGGCAATGACTCACTGTGAAATCATGCATAAGTCACTACTTCTTTCTGGACCTCAGTGTCCCTATCTATGTAATTAAGGGACTTGACTAGATGATTTATTAGGTCTCTTCAAAGTTTATGTTAAATTACTAACATATAGTAAACATAAACATACATTAATCAGGATGTATTCCTCTATAAGATTCATATTTATGGAAAAGAAGCAAAGGACACAAAAATAAGCTCATAATCTTTCAAATAGGTTTGGAGACAGACTCATCCCTGTTTCCTATACCTACAGTGATTTATAATAAGTATTCACTGTTTGAATAAAAGCTATGGCCTTCTATCATCAAAGATTCTACTGTCTTCATTATATTTTTAACAAGGCATGAAAATGATATGATACATTTTAGAAATTTCTGCAACGTAAGTGGGAACAAACTGCATTTTCGTTCTAATTCTCCAGTAAACAAGAAATTCCATGCATCAAAACCCAAAATGCAGTTTAGCCAATAAAATATTTATGGAATACTTACCATGCATTTAGCACAGTGCTAAGTGCTGGAGTACCACAAAAGAATGATAAGGTATAATTAATCCAAATTTTACTAGTGGTAGCTGGGTTAGGAGTATTCAAGCCAGGAAAATCTCTATTAAATGACTAATTTCAAACAGATACATTTTTGAACAGATATTTACCACGGAGCTGACTGAAATAAAGTAATTCTTCCTTGGAAAGTTCATCTCCCTTTGAAGGGTCCTTTGAAGGGTCCTTCGATTTCACTTCAGTATAAGCTGAAAACAGATTACTCAAATCAAATTTACTAACACTGAGGAACAGAAACATATCTTTAACAGCTCAAGTACATCTGAGGGCAGAGATTTAAGGAAAGGAATTCTGTAAAAGAAAACACATATGATGAAATGTGGAAGTGATACCACTGTATTGTTTGGCAAATAACAGGAAATACTTAATCACTTTGAGTTCTATTATTTCTCCTACTTGCTTTTTTATAGTTTTCTGAGAGCCATTACAAGTTGAAATAAGAAAATCTGGCATTTGTAAATCTCTGAAAATGTGACCTCAGTTATTTAAAAACATTTCAACAATAAGGAAAACATGAAGTTGAGTGCTGTAACAGATGTAGTTTTCTATTTTTGATGCTTCTACTGAAAGCATATTTATTACATGACAATATTAGATATTTGATATGACAATATAAACTCCTTCATAATTAAACTATTTGGTGGTTTGTCTTTTGTTTTTAATGCTGTTTGTTATCTGAGTGTGTGAAGAGTTAAAGATGGCTTTTAGATTTTTTGGTTTGGTAAAAGAATGGATGCTGGCTCTCCTGGGAAGACTAAAAGAAATCCCAGGTGTAGCTTTAGACAATGTTATTTGTTTTTGTGAATTATCTATCTAAGCTTAAAGGTACTTTTGTAATGTTCCTTTAGTTGAAAGCTTAAGACTGCTTTCCAAAATACGGATCAGGCCTGGAAAAGTCAGCCTCTTAAGGTTAGTGGAAAACACTTAAGTAAACTGGAATAGTGTGGTAACACTGAGGCAGCATGCTAGAATAGAAAGAAACCCAAGTTCTGGAGTCAGATCTTTGTTTGAATCTCAGTTATGCAATATATTATCTGTGTGGTCTTTGGCAAGTAATTTCATCTTTCTGAGCCTTAATTTCTTTATTGTCAAAATTGGAAGCATAATACCACCTTTCAGGAATATTATGAGAAGTAAATATAAGAATGCATGTAAAGCAAATGCCTTGACAGAGCAACTGCTCACTCAATAAATGGTAGCTTTTATTTTGTTTCCTTTTGCAAATGTTCACTATCCCTACTATCCCTGCCCTGGTCTCATTTTTCTGAATAATTTGTAGTATTTCACACATTTGGCAGTTTGTCTAAGGCTAAATTCAACTCTAATGACAACAGCAATAAAAATTCAACAGTATACCAATATTCAAATGATAGGTAGTTCTTATATATAAACTATTTATTATTACATTGATAGACCACTAACAGGAGGAAAACTTGTGAACCCTTATGTTACACAGACTCTCTTCCATAGATTCCACCATATTTATATATCAGCAAAAGTACTGGTAGTATGATCCATGGGCCACAATGAAGGAATAACCTTATATACTGAACACTGTTATCTGTTAAAATGGAATTATATATGTAATTATACTTGTTAAAATGGAGTCAACTCCTACACATCACTAGAGACTGTTAAACTCTTACCTGGAGGAATATGCAGCTTAAAAAGTAGTTTAAGCTTCTCAGTAAAACTTCCGTTGTACATTATGTCTGTTCAATAAAATTTAATTATAAGTAGTCACATAGCCAAAGGAAATTCAATCAATTCCAGCAATACAGATATTAGCCAAGAATTAGAATTCAGAAACCTTCTGTTACTTAAACTAACAGTTAAATAACCACCCTGTCAGTCAGATCCTCTCCTGTTAGTGCGTAAGCAAAACCCCCTTTATTAGAGTGATAAAATGCTTTTCTACTGATCTTCCCTTCCCCCAATCTCAATTTCTTTTTTCTTTTACATGTGGACTTATGCCTCATTTGAGGAGATAACTCCTCTTCAAGGGACAATCCCTAACAAGAAAGCATGCTGGGGTGTTGGAAAAGAAAGGAATGCTAAAACTGGTGGCCTATCTCCAGGTACAAGATGTTTGTTGGATATTTGCCTACCACTTGCTTTAGCTATGTAGTTGGATTTTTACTGAGGGAGAAAGTCCTCCTGACGTTTCCATGTGCCTGAGTGTGGGAAAATCAGGACATTCTCTTCTTCATGTTAACCATTAGAACATCCATATATAACAGCTTGCCTTTTTGGAAGAGTTGAAACAAAATGTGTGACCAATATACTCAGACTTAGCAACAGACTCAGAAAAAGGTCCAGTTATCGCTAAAGTTGGAGACAATGTAACTCAGGCTGATAAAAATCTGACTCAATTGACAATTATAGGCAGTATAAGTATTTTTAGGAGCACCTTTATTTTTGGCTTGAAAAAAGAAAATTATTCGAAATCATCTTACCAATTGCAGAAGAGAATTCTTTGAAGTTTATAAGGCAGTCAGAGTTTTCATCCAACAATCTGAATGTCCACAAAGCTAACAAGTCTTTGTTTGCAGAAGGAGCCCAGGGACACAACAAATGATATAACACTCTGAACTGCTGGCAGTCAATCTGATACTGTTCCAAATATGGCAAACTGGGGTCATGGTGCTTTAATACTGGACAACTCAAACACCAATAATACGAAAAAAACAGCTCTTTCTATTAAAAACAAATAAAAAAGGAAAGTCATTAAATCAGCAAAAATAATTCTACAAGGTTTTTTCTTTTAACCATGTCTACTAAAATAATTAAAGACAAAATACTTAAGAGTAGTTGTGGTAAAAAAAAAATCATTACAAAAATATTATTTTTCATTTAAAGAACAGTACCTTAAAGATGACAAAAAGTTTGTCCAATTCCTGAAGGCTCATTTTCACATCTTGTGATACAACACGCAACTTAAAAAAGAGTAGAAGCAATTTAGAATATAATACTTCAGTATAGAAATTCTTTTTGACTCCATTTAGAAATCTCCCTCTGCCAGAGTAAAATATTTTTCTTCTAACTTTTAAAAGGAATAATAATGGTAAATGCACCTATTTTGCCTTTAAAAAGGTTGTACATAGAACACAATTGAATTATACTCTTATATGCCTCAAAAGTATTAGAACTAATGAGAGTCAGCAATAACATGGCCATTTAATAAAGTAACATAAGCTTGGCCAGTGTGGCTCAGTGGATTGAGCATGATCCCATGGACTAAGAGGTCCCGGTTGGATTCCTGGTCAAGGACATGCCCGGGTTTTGGGCTTTATCCTCAATGGGGGGCGTGCATGAGGTGGCCAATCGATGTTTCTCTCTCACATTGATATTTCTATCTCTCTCACATTGATATTTCTAACTCTCTCCCTTCCTCTCGCTCTAAAAATAATAATAAAACATATTTAAAAAATAAAGCAACATAAACAAATCCATAGCTTTTACATACACAGCAATAAACAAATTAGAAAATGTAATGAAAAAAAAAGATCTCATTCATATTAGCAACAAAACCATCAAAAGCATTGGAGTAGATAAACCCAACAAGAAATGTATAAGACCTATATGATGAAAACTATAAATGCTTACTAAAGGACATATAAAAAGACATCATGAAAATGAATATTAAAGGCTTTTTTAAAGCCTTACCAGATTTCAAAATGAACTATAAAGCCATAGTAATTAAAACAGTATGGTGGTGTTGCAGAAAAAGAGACTCCAGTAATAAACCAATGTATGTATATAAGTATTTAACATTAGAATAGGGCAGAATACAGTAAGGATGGACAAGACAATAAATGGTATTCAAACAATAGGCTGTTTCAGTTGAAATAAAATTCCATTAGGGACTTATGTCACACTTCATAAATATATATAATTTAGGTGTAGTAAAGATCTAAATGTTTTAAAAAACCAAAGCAATACCAGTACTATAAGCTAACATGAGAAAGTATGTTTATAAATTACATAATTTTATATAGAAAAGGCTGAAACCTGTACAACATGTAAGAAATAAAACATTTAACTACATAAAAATTTGAGCCCTGGCCAGTTTGGCTCAGTGGTTGAGCATTGGCCTGCGGACCAGAGAGTCCTGGTTCGGTTCCCGCTAGGGGCACGTACCACAAAAAAAAAAAAAAAAAAAAAAAAAAAAAATTGAAACTTATACACTCTGAAATATACCCTAAAGAAAATTTAAAATACATACACACAAGATTGAAGGGAAATATTAGCCACAAATATAACTAACAATGATTTAATACCACTAATATATAAAGTGCTCCTACAATCAATAAGAAAAAGACAAACAACTTCACAAAAAAAAAAAATTGGCAAAGGCTATGAATAGGCAATTAAGAGAAGAAATAAAAAAGTTAATAAACATGTGATCAGTGAAATAAAAAGGATGATTAGATTTTTTAATCTATCAAACTGGCACAAACTAAAGATTTTTAATATCTGATGTTAGTGGGAATGTGGGGAAAAAGGAATTCCTACATACTGTTGGTTGCACTATAATATGGTACAAAACATTTGGAGGATAATTTGGCAGGACCTATCAATTTTCACATGGGCATACCCTTTGACCTAGATTCTACCACCAGGAATCTACCTTTCAGAAATACTCCTAGAAATGTGTAAAAATAGATATACTGTGATGTTTAGATATGGTATTACTAATAAGAGCAAAAAATACTAAATGTACATATACAAGAAATAGTTAAATAAAGTATAACATATCTATACTATAGTATACTATTCAGTACATTAAGAAAAGTGATGCAGATCTGGATGTACTAATATGCAATGACCATGATATATTTTTGAATGAAAACAAAAATGTAGAACAAAGTGACTAATATGCTCTTAATTTTAAAAACTGTATTACCTGCACCTACCTCCAGCATACACATTTATATCTATAGATACACACAAAAATGATGTGGAAGAAAATATGCCAAATCATTTTAATATTGGTTACTCCTGGGGTAGGAAAGCTTTTTTTTTTTTTTCATTTCTGGACTATTTGAATAATTTACAAAAAGTATGTATTATTTTAAGTATGTATTATGTATAAAGGAAAATTTTTTTCCTTTATTGATTTTAGAGAGGAATTGAGAAAGAGAGAGCTAGAAACATCAATGAGAGAGAACATCAATTGGTTGCCTCCTGCATATCCCTCACTGGGGATCAGGCCCACCACCTGGGCATGTGTCTTGACCAGGAATCAAACCTGCAACCTCTTGGTGCATGGGTCGACGCTAAACCATTGAGGTACACCGACCAGACTCAGTGTTTTTTTAACTCCTCAAGCGAAGATATGTTTTTTAATGTCTTTTAGAGAGAGAGGATAGGGGAGAGAGAAAAAGGGAGGGGGGAGAGAGAGAGAGAGAAACACTGATATGAGAGAAACATCAACCTGTTGCCTCCTGTACATGCCTAACTGAGGATCAAACCCACAACCTTTTTGGTGTATAGGAAGACACTCCAACCAACTGGGCCACCCAGGCAAGGCTTACTTCAGTGTTTTTAAAGGTTAATATAAAAAAACTAAAAAAAGGGGGCTCTATGCTAATTATGTCATAGTAACAGCACTGATTTAACTGAAATCTAAACCTGGAATCTTAAGAAATGTTAACCATGACTTCTGGTCCAGATGACAGTGTAGGTAAAGGTCGTATCGCCTTTTCCCACAAACACATCAAAATTACAACTAAACTACAACACAACTATCATTCAGAACTGCCTGAAATCGAGCTGAATGGAAGTCCTACAACTACGAAATTAAAGAAGTCACATTGAGACTGATAGGAGGGGCAGAGGCGCCGGCCGGCTGGTCCCACACCCACATGTGGTGGATAAAAATCAGAAGGGACACTGCTATGAAGGTCCTCCCTGAACAGTGAGGAGTTCCCATCCCACACTAGGTTCCCAGTTCAGGTTCCAGTGCCAAGAAGAGAAGTCCCCATAACTTCTGGCTGTAAAAACCAGCAGGAACTGTGCTGAGGGAGGCTAAGGCTGCTGAAACTCCAGGCAGTTCCTCTTAAAGGGCCTGCTCACAGATTTATTGGGACTTGCTCCCTCTGAGCTTGGAGGGGAGTTAGCTAGAACAGCACCAGAGACAAACTGGGAAGAAATGAGTTGTTTGGCCTCAGGACAAGGGCTGGAGAGGTAGCTTTCTCCCACACAGAGGTGCTGGTAGAGGCCTTTGTTCCTTTGGTGAGCCCTTTCCCCATGGGGCCAGCAGAGGGCTGCCTTATCTGGGACTCCAGTAAACTGGCTCACACTGTTTGCCTGCCCTGGTGATTCCCTGAGGCCCTGTCCCATCCAACCTCCTGGCCCACCTACGCAGTTTCCAGTGGCTTTATCACAGGGTTGGCCTGTCCTGGATCCTGCTTCAGATTTTCCTAAAATCTCTCAAACAAGCTGCATTTGGTCTCAGCAAGTCCCATATCTCTTGTTAAGTGGCCCCAGGCCTGGCATTAGAAGCAGCCAGCCTTGGTTCACAACTTGGCTTTTCCTGGGCACCTCCAAGCCCAGCACAAGAAGCAGCCATTGGCAGGTCACTCTGTAACTTATGCCGGGTGGCCCTGGGTAGAACACAGGCAGTGGCTGACCTTGCCCCAGAGTTAGCATACTCAGTGAACAGCTTCAGACCACATCAAAAAACCACCACCCAACCACCTCCACAAGTGACACACTCAAGGAGTGGACTCAGTGGGTACCAGAACCCTGCTGAAGTAAGTCTTGTTCTGTGTGGTAGGCCCCTGTACAGCTTGGTCCTCCCAAGGGAGTCAGAGGCCAGCGGTAAGTGGGCATAACCACTCCTTGCAGCTGATCAGCCTTAGTAAATCGCTCCCACTGACGTGCCAACAGAAAACAAGACTTAATTACAAGAGAAGGGTGTATAGTCCACACTAGGGGTGCACCTCGAGGCCACAGCTGGGGTGATCAGGGAGGTTGTGCCACTGCATCCTACAGGACACCTACAACAATAGGCCACCCTACGAAGCCTAGGAGACATAGCAACTCTACCTAATACATGGAAACAATCACAGGGAAGCAGCCAAAATGAGGAGACAAAGAAACATGTCCCACATGAAAGAAAAGCACAAAACTCCAGGAAAAGAACTAAACAAAATGGAGATAAGCAATCAATCAGATGCAGAGTTCAAAACACTGGTTATAAGGATGCTCAAGGAACTTAGTGAGAACTCCAAGGAACTTAAGGAGAACTCCAAGGAACTTAGCAAGAACATCAACAACATAAAAAAGGACCAGTCAGAAATGAAGGATGCACTAACTGAAATAAAGAATAATTTACAGAGAGAGTAGGTAAAGAAGCAAACCATAAATCTGGAATATAAGGAAGCAAAAAATACCCAATCAGAACAGCAAAAAGAAAAAAAGAATCCAAAAAAAGTGAGGATAGTATAAGGAGCCTCTGAGACAACTTCAAGCGTGCCAACATTCACATCATGGGGGTGTCAGAAAGAAGAGAGAGAGCAAGAAATTGAAAACCTGTTTGAAAAAATGACGGAAAACTTCCCTAACTTGGTGAAGGAAACAGACATACAAGTCTAGGAAGCACAGAGAGTCCCAAACAAGATGAACCCTAAGAGTTTCACACCAAGATGCATCATTATCAAATTGCAAAAGGTTAAAGACAAAGAGAGAATCTTTAAAAAAATTATTTTTTCTTTACTGATTTTTAGAGAAAGAGGAAAGGAGAGGTAGAGAAGAGACAGCAACACTGATGAAAGAGAATATTGACTGGCCGCCTCCTAAATGACCCCCACTGGGGATCGGGCCCACAACCTGGGCATGTGCCCTGACCGGGAATCAAACCTTGAACCGGCGACCTCTTAGATCATGGGTCAACACTCAACCACTGAGCCAAAGACAGAATCTTAAAAGTTGCAAGAGAAAAGCAGTTCATTACCTACAAAGGAGCTCCTGTAAGACTGTCAGCTGATTTCTCAAGAGAAACTTTGCAGGCCAGAAAGGAGTGGCAGGAGATATTCAAGGTGATGAAAAGCAAGGACTTACAACGAAGATTACTCTATCCTGTAAAGCTATCATTTAGAATCGATGGACATATCAAGAGTTTCCCAGACAAGAAAAAGCTAAAGGAGTTCATCACCACCAAACCAGTATATGAAATACTGAAGGGTCTTCTTGAAAGAGAAGAACAAAAATATGAACAATAAAATGGCAATTGATACCTATCTATCAACAATTGAATCTACAAACAAAATGGGCAAGCAGAACATAAACAGACTCATAGAGATAGAATTTTTTGTTGTTTGCCAGACAGGCGGGTGCTGGGAGGATGGGTGAAAAAGATGAAGGAGTTAAGAAGTACAAATTGGTTGTTAGACTGAGGAATCTCAAAAGGAAGTGGGGAGGGGTTGGAAGAGATAAACCAAACAGTGGGGAAGGCAGGAGGGGTGCGGGACTGGGGAGGAGAGGGTCAAGGGGGAAACAAAGGGGGACCTCTGCAATACATTCAACAATAAAGTTAATAAAAAGAGAAATGTTAATCTTCCCAGATTTGTACCTCCAAGGACCTGACCTTTAAGCAAGTAGGTTTACAAAAATGCATGCTCATGATAAAAGCTCAAACAGTACAGAAGGATATATACAGCAAAATAAAACTCTCGCTCCTCTGATCAGCATTCTATTAATCACACTTACCAGAGGCAACCAATATTAACAGTTTTTTATGTACCTATCCTAATATTAAAAATTAGAGTATTTAAAAAACACTGGTTTAGACATTTTTCATTTTAGGTATCCAAGATAATAATATATATTAGCAGCATTGACTACTATGTAGGTCAGCTGTTCTATTTGATGAAGCACATCACACATATGTTATGCTTAAATGTCTACACTATAGTATTCACTGTTTATTATTATTATTTTAATCCTCACCCAAGGATATTTTTCTATTGCTCTTTAGATGGAGTGGAAGGCAGAGGATGAAGAGAGAGAGAGAGAAACATTGATGTGAGAGACACATCAATTGGTTACCTCCTGCGGGATCAAACTTGCAATCCAGGTACATGCCCTTAACCAGGAATCAAACCTGCAAACCTTCGGTCCAAGGGCGGATGCTCTAATCACCGGCCCAAACCAGCCAGGGCTATAGTATTCACTACTGAAGGTCAAATAACACAAAACAAGGAGAAACCAACATAATGGACTTGGTGAAAAAAGTGAAGAGATTGAGAAGTACAGATTTGTAGTTACAAAACAGTCATGGGGAAGTAAAGTACAGCATAGGAAATACAGTCAATAATACTGTATAAACTATGTATGGTGCCAGGTGAGTACTGCAAATATTGGGGGAACACTTTGTAAAGTATATGACTGTCTAACCACTGTGTTGCATCTGAAACTAACACAAATAATAGTAAATGTAAATTGTGATTGAACGAAATAAAAAATAGTTTCTCCCAAAAGAATAACTTATTTCCTCTCAAAAATTTATACTAGGTTAAGCTGCAGTAAGAATATACCTTAAAACTTTGATTATTCTCTTTTTCTTTACAAAAAAAATGATAATTTTAAAAAGGAAGTTGAAGAAAAATTGTCACTCTAATTACTTTCCCCCCATTGGGTGGTTACTCACCACATTCTGCTTTGTCGTTTCCTCTAGGGTCTGTATCACATACAATCTATTTCGACAGCGCATGGTGTGTATATCTTCACAACGAATGTTACCATATTTCTAAAAAATATATTATTTCAGTGTATACTCATTCATAATAAACATCCATTTCTCCTCAACGTGAATTTCATCAGATTCAATTCTCAGAGGCTTTTGTTGCATTTCTAGCTATTTTCTTAATTTGTTCAGTGATTATGCAAATTTTCACCTTCCATATTTCATTTTCTCTACATATTCACTGGAAAGAATTTCATCTATTATATGTCTAGAACAAGTACAAGAACATTGGTAAAATTCTTAATCTCTAAGAAGAGAATAATTTTATCCTTTTATACAGTGACAGATATTTAAAAGTGGTCATTATTGTGAAAGCAAGTGAATACAGTTTCATTTAATGAAAAGCAAATGAAAGCGGAGGCGGCTACATAACCTAGGAACAGTTCACAGAATTCATTGTTAAAGTGAAGTTGTATTTTAAAATTGTAGCTTTACCTGTATCATTATCTTACTCTTAATATACCACTAGAGACATAACTATAGTATGAATTATTTTAAATATGCTATGTAATTATATTTGATATTAAAAACTTACCTCATTTGACTCTCTAATCAAATCTGTAATATCCACTCTAATATGACTGCTTTTTTCGTCACTCACATTTGAACCCTGCTGAACACTTGAAGGCAATGGGCTATCCTTATTAGTGATACTGTCAAAGAACCTATCCAAAAGTGATAGTAACACAAGAATTAGTGGAAGTAAAATGCAGAGAAAATGACAGCTAATTTCTCCATAGTCAGTCAAAAGTTAATTTCAACTGAGAGGACAGGGGACAGTCTTATGATAAAGAAGCAAAATTTGAAGATGGTTCAGAATTAGGAAGACATGGGAATGGGGAATGGGATGGTGAAGAAATTATTTCAGAGGCAGGGAGTAGAGCAGGATGGAAGTAAATAGGCTCAGGGTAATCTGAAAATACTTAGCAAATGCCACATAGCCCAGTAAGGATGGAATATAGGGTATGCAGAGGCATGTAAGTAGAAATAAGTTAAGAATAGGCACATAAAGGCCTCAACATAGTGAGTTCTACATGTTAGAGTAAGGTATTTACATTTCATGTGTACATAATAGGATTTGGTGCACCATTATAACAGTTACTCAAATAATCCTTCAACATTATACACAGTGTACACACACACACACACACACACACACACACACACACACCACAGTACTTGAACACATAACAGCATTCATAAAAATGACGCTAGGAAAATAAAATTCAGCCTACCACTTGGAAAACAGAATAATTTCTCCTAATGGATATTCAACATTATCAACTACTCATTACCCTTCAAATTACTTTTACACAGTGACACCATAGCTCAAACTGGGACTATGAAAATCCTGGAATAACGAGTCAATGATATTAGTGGCTTACTTCAAAGTGATTTACTTTTATAACATTCTATTAGAAAACAGAGGAGTGGATTTTAGGCCTAGCTATCTCATTCAACTAACTTTATGACCTTGGGAAAATTGCTTCGTTTCTAGGCTTATGTTCTTCATCTGTAAAATAGGGGATTGAACACCATAATCTTTAAGGGGCTCTCCAGATTTAAATGTTATGGTTCTTATAGTACCTGTTTAAAGCTGTCACGGCTTCAGCATCGTCTTTACATGACAACAGTTTGTCTAAATTATAATCAAGTATTGCCAATCCCAGTTGTAAAATGGCCTTTATTCCATCATAGAAAAAACAGTCCACCACATTCACTGCACTTTCAATAGGTAGTACACTAATAAAAAGTGTGAGGAACCATGAGAGAGAAATTGAAGAAAAGAATGTCATATCGGTCATGTGTTCTGTGAGCTGGGGAAGGTGATCCCTGATAAGTTCTTCAAAGACGGCCTGATCAACCAAGGCACCTGGATGACATAAAAAGAAGTTTAAAAATAAACACCTTGCAAAAAGATTTGTTACTGATACTTCCCACTTCTATTAGTAAGATAATAAATCTCATTTTTCCTCCTTAAATTATGAACTTCTTCAGTGCCTTTCTATATTTCACAAATCTCTTTATCTGTTAGTATAGTGACTTGCAAAAAGAAACACTTGAGAAACTCAATTCAAGTTCATTTCAACAATTACATATTGAATTATTATTATGTGTAGAAACCTGTAATATGCCAATTAATGAAATAGTCTCACTTCAATAAGCTTAATATATAGTAGAACTTAAGATAAATATACAAATAACTAAAATCAAAGACCATACAATCAAAGACTTAGCCATGATACTGAAGGCTTATAAGGGTACAAAGGAGTGACCATCTATGGTTTAAGGCGGAGGAATGATAGATCTTATAAGAATTTGATTACTGAAGAAAATATTACACAATTAAGGAACCAAGAACTTGGTCCTTCTTTCAAACCTTTCAATATCTATACAATTCATATAAATGTAGAGAGTTTAAGCTTATTAAAATCTCTCATCAAGAAACTATTAAAAATTATCCAGCAGCTCTCCATGCTTCAGATTACCATTGTTTTAGCAAAACAGAGAGTAAACTTATATTTTCTAGTTTATTAAGAAACAGACCTAGTACTTTATTTTTTTATTTTTTATTTTTTATTTTATCTTTTTTATTTTTTATTTTTATTTTTTATCCTCACCCGAGGACATTTTTCCATTTTTTGCACAGATAGAGTGGGAGGGAGAGAGAGGAAGGGAGAGAGAAAGGGAAACATCGATGTGAAAGGGACACATAGAGTGGCTGCCACCCGCACGACCAACCAGGGCCGGGGACAAACTGCAACCGAGGTACGTGCCCTTAGCGGGAACCGAACCCGGGTCTCTCCGGACCGCAGGTGGATGCTCTAACCGCTGTGCCAAACCGGCCAGGGCGTACTTTATTTTTTTAAAAGCAACATATTAAACAATCTTCCCAATTATTATTCAGTACCAAGAGCTCTTCACTTGACCATGTCTGTGAATGTGACATTTTGATACCGCTTGCATTTTGTATATTTTTATTTTTTTAAATATTTTTTCTTTATTGGTTTTAGAGAGAGAAGAAAGGAGAGGGAGAGATAGAAACATCGATGAGAGACAACATCAATTGGCTGCGTCCTGCATGCCCCCAACTGGGGATCAGGCCCACAACTTGGGCATGTGCCCTGACCAGGAACAGAACCGGCAACCTCTTGGTGTATGGGTCGACACTCAACCACTAAGCCACACCAGCCGGGCGCATTTTGTATATTTTAAAACCTAATTGATCATTTGCCCTATCCAGTGTTGCTCAGTGGTTAGAGCATTGGCCCATGCACCGAAGGGTCACAGGTTCAATTCCCTGTCACGGGCACATATCTGGGTTGCAGGTTTGATCCCTGGCCCATGTCAGGGCTCCTGCGGGAGGCAACCAATCAATGTGTCTCACATCGATATTTTTCTCTCTTTCTCTCTCCCTCTCCCTCCCTCCTTTCCACTCTCTCTAAAAATCAATGAAAAAAATACCCTCTGGTGAGGATTAACGACAACAAAAAAACCTAATTGATTAGTTCCTCCATTTGATAGATAACTGAATAGACAAGAGGCATATAAATTGTTTAGAAAATAAATGTGTTTTTTTCATGTGTTTTGTTTTTTTTTTACCAATGATTCGACGATTAAAATAATCAGGCAACATTCGTTCACATACAGCAACCAGAAGCCAAAAAGCTTCTTCCTCTTTTGCATACAGAAGCAACACGGAAGTCAAAATGTTCATTGCCTAAAATTCATAGAAAAATAAAAGTAGTTATTTGGATGATCCATTCATTTACACTACTTTTCAAAAAATTCCGTATTGATAAGTTTCAATGAATAAATATGATCGATATGAAATCCTTATGGTTGCTCAACCCATTATAAATTAATCTGCGGCAGAGAAAGCTAGCTATCTACCATAATCCATACCCCTTTCTTCCATAGTATCTGGACATGTGTGTGCTCAGCCACACAACATTTTTCAGACTTCTTTGTAAAAATGTGTGACCATGACACCAAGATCCTCTAACAGATTGTAGGTGAGACATCAAAATTACAACTAAACTCCAGAATAACCATCATTCAGAACCACCTGAAATCTGGCTGAATGGAAGTCCTACAACTAAGGAATTAAAAAAGAAGATACCTAGATTGGCAGTTGGGTGGAGACACAGAATAGGCTAGTCCGACACCCACCTGTGGCGGATAAAAACTGGGAGGAATATGTCAGCTGCAGAGGTTCCACATGAGGTGCGAAGGGTCCCAGCCCCACCCCAGGCCCCCCAAACCCAGGGTTCCAGTGCCAGGAAGAGAAGTTCCTACATCTTACATCTTCTGGCTGTTAAAATACCAATAGTGAACGAGGCTGAGGGAGATAGAGAGGACTTCTGAAATCCCAGGCAGTACCTCTTAAAGGGCCTGAACATGGATTTAATAGGACTCACTCTCTGAGCTCTAGCACTGTGGCAGCAGCTTAAAAGGCATCCAAGATATAAGAAAAGGAACTGAATTATTTGACATCAGGGAAAGAGTTGGGGCTGAGTGCAGCTTTCCCCCAGAGAGAAGTGCTGGCAGAGGCCACTGTTCCTTTGATGAGCCCCCATCCCTACAGAGCAGGCAGATGGGCACCATATCTGAGACTCCATCAACCTGGCTCACACTATACCCTGCCCTGGAGATTCCCTGAGGCCCTGCCCCACTCCTCTTTCTGGCTCACCCAAGAGATGTTTCCAGTGATTTTCCACACGAATGGCCTGTCTTGCCTCATGCTTCAGATTTTCCTAAAATCTCTCAAACAAGCAGCCTCAGGCCTCAGGTCCAGCACTACCAGCAGTCAGCCTTGGTTTTCAGCCTGGCCTCACCTGGGTAACTCCAAGCTCAGCACAAGTGATAGCCATTAGCCAATTGCTTTGTAGCTCATGTTGTGTGTCCCTGGGGAGAACATAGGCAGTGGCTGACCTTGGCCTGCACCTCCCGGTTAGCCCCACACTCAGTGCACCCAGTGGAAATTTTCAGACCACAGCAAAAAACCACCACCTTACTACCCCCATAAGTGAACTCAGCGGCTACCAGAGCGCTGCTGAAGTAAGCCTTACTCTGTGGGGTGGGCCCCTGCACAGCTAATCCTCCACAGTGGTCGGAGGTCAGTGGCCACAGCCAGTCCTTGCAGCTGATTGGCCTGGAGGTAAATCCCCCTACCCATTGGCCTACCAATAGCAATCAAGGCTCAGCTACAACAGAAAGGTGTACACAGACCACATGGGGATGTATCTCGAGTAACCAGCTTGGGTGATCAGGGAGGCTGTGTCACTAGACCCTGCAGAACATCTACTATATTAGGCCACTCTACCAAGCCTGGGAAACATAGAAGTTCTACCTAATACATAGAAATAACCACAAGATGCTGCCAAAATGAGGAGACAAAGAAACATGTCCCAAATGAAAGAAAAGAACAAAATTCCAGGAAAAAACTGAACAAAATTGAGACAAGCAATCTAGCAGATGCAGAGTTCAAAACACTATATACAAGGATGCTCAATGAACTTAGTGAGAACCTGAACATCTTAAAAAAGGACCAGTCAGAAATGAAGGATACACTAACTGACATAAAGAATAATTTACAAGGAATCAACAGTAGAGTGGATGAAGCCAAGAATCTAATCAGTGGTTTAGAATATAAGGAAGCAAAACCCACCTAATCAGAACAGCAAAAAGAAAAAAGAATACAAAAAACTGAGGCTAGTGTAAGAAGCCTTTGGGACTTCAAGCGTACCAACATTCACATCACAGGGGTTCCAGAAGAAGAGAGAGAGCAAGGAATTGAAAACTTATTTGAAAAAAACAATGACACAAAACTTCCCTAACCTGGTGAAGGAAAGACACACAAGTCTAGGAAGCACGGAGTGTTCCAGACAACATGAACCCAAAAAGGCCCACATCAAGACACATACTTAAAATGTTAAAGGTTAAAGAAAAAAAGAGTGTCTTAAAAGCAGCAAAAAAAAGAGAAAGCAGTTAATTACCTACAATGGAGCTCCCATAAGACTGTCAGATGATTTATCAACAGAAACTTTGCAGGCCAGAAGGAAGTGGCAAGAAATATTCAAAGTGATGAAAAGCAAAGATGAAATGCAACCAAGATTACTCTACCCAGCAAAACTATAATTTAGAATGAAGGACACATAAAGAGCTTCTCAGATTTAAAAAAAGCTAAAAGAATTCATCACCACCAAATCAGTATTATATGAAATGCTAAAGGGTCTTTAAGAATAAAAAAAGATAAAAAATATGAATAATAAAATAACAGTACATACATCTCTATCAACAATTGAATCTAAAAACCAAAATAAACAGAACAGAACAGAAGCAGACTCAGATACAGAAGACATTTGGACATTTGCAGATGGGAGGTGGGTTGGAGGGATGGGTTAAAAAGGTGAAGAGATTAAGAAGTACAAACTAGTTGCTACAGTGTAGATAGTCATGGAGATGTAAAGTACAGCATAAGGAATATAGTCGATAATATTCTAATTATTATGTATCGTGACAGATGAAAGTGCGATTTATCAGGGTAATCAGTAAGTTATGTAATGTCAAATCACTGGGGCATACACCTGAAACTAATATAGTAATGTATGTCAACTGTAATTGAAAAGAAATAAGATTAAATGAGAAAATAAGAATACAGGTGAAATGATGTGTGCACCTTCCTGGCCTGCCTGATAAGAATCTTCCACAATTTTTTTATTCATGCTCTCTCCTTCTTCCTCTGAGTAGTAAATGGCAATAACAGAGTACCTTGGAAGCCATGTTTTGAAGATGACTGATCCTGCTGTCAGCTTAAGTCTTTGAATAATCTCGTAGAGAGCTGCCTACTGACTTAAAAACTCGCTCTTCTCTATTTATTCCTTTAAGTAAACTTTTATGTTTTGAGCTATTACTTGTTTGAAATTATTTGTGTTAGCAGTCTAGCATATCCTAATAAATATGGTGTGCTTCTAAAGAATGTTTTCAATTATTTCATAACTGCCTACAAAATAAAATTCAAACTCCTAACCAATCCTATCCCAATCTACCTTAGTGATTTTGTTTCTCCAACTACTTTGCATAATTCACCACACTTCTACTAAACAGAACAGGGTCCTATATACATCCCATATTTACCTTTATCTGTTTGTTTAGACTGATCCCTCCATATGGAATGTTCTTTCATTCCATCTCCATACATCCAAAATTCATAATTTTCAAGACCTACAAATGCTACCTGTTGCATGAAGCCTCCTCTGATTCCTCTAGATGAAAATAATTTTCCATATTTTAAATCCTGACAGGATTTTATATTTCTCTAATAATCTTATTCATTTGTTTTTCATTTGCTAATGAATATGTTTTAATAGCTACTAGTCAATATACTTTTAAGGGTAAGATCCTTATCTAATTCTCCTTTATATAGTCTTTAGCACCGAGGACAACATCTTTTACAGAGCAAGAATTCAGTAAACATTTGTTAAATATATAAAAAAATGAATTAACAAAATGTCAGCTCTCCTAAATATTCCCACTTTCATTCTACTTAGATTAATAATATCCACTATTAATTGCAACTCAACCTCTGTCCTTATCACAATTTTCAAACTAGTAGAGTTGGATTAGATGTGATTTTTATCATTTGGAACATGTACACAGTTGGGTTTATAACAAAGTCATACCTGGCAGTATCCAATTTTGGGATTCCTGTATGCATAAGCAGTGAGTACTCGCCTCAGAGCAGATATGCCAGTGTCACTTTGAAAAGCTGGGTGCTCAGGCAAGGATCGACGTAAATCACGTTCAATCTCTTCAGTAGCCAAGTTACAGGTCCCTAAGGATTGCTCAACCACTTTAGCATAATAGCCAGGATTAGCAGCCATGTCATTAACAGCACCTGTAAAGATGATTGCATTAACACACAAAAGAAGAGGCATGTAATAAAGTTACTACTTGCATACATACATGAAGAAGTGGAAGACCTTTAACCCTGGCCAGTTTATCTCAGTGGTTAGAATGTCGGCCTGCGGACCAGAGAGTCCCGGGTTGGGTTCCCGCTAGGTGCACATACCAAAAAAAAAAAAAAAAAAAAAAAAAAAAAAAAAAGGAAAGAAATAAACCACAAGTCTTTTGACCTTAACAAAGAGGCCTCTCTCTCTCTCTCACCCGCACTGACCCTATGGTTTCCCCTTTCTCTCCATAAGCAACCATGCGAGCCTCGGTCCGTGGCCCACAGCAAATCACTGGGCTCCGAAGGACTAAGCTTTACTACAAAGCAAAAAAAAAAAAGAATTGGAAGACCTTTAATTTTAGCTATATACTCAAGTGATATCAAAGTACAAACAAAAGAAAAACCTTCACCTTAGAATCTATAACATGAGAACAATACCAATCTTATCCAACAGAATAACATTTTCATGAACTGTTTGTCCCCTTAACTTTCCTTTGACACCAGAGATAGAGATTCCTCCCAACAATTAGCTATAACATGCCTAATAAACTGATCTGCTTAGAAAACGGATGTGTGGATATATATGTAACTAATTAGTCCGTGATTAGTCTAGACTCCTGATGAATGAGACTTTGTCCTAGACATCATTGAAATTTTTATTTAGCTTGCTGCATAACTCTTAGAAGGGCCATAATTAATGTCTATTAAATAAATAAATAAATAAATAAATAATGTAATACCTGAAAAAAGCATCCACAGCTCTCCTCTTAAGGTCTCTGGAATCCCTCTTATAACCAGATCTCGAGTCTTCTTGGTTCGAAACATGGTAACACCACGCCCACATTCTGAAAATAGGATGTTCCATGACTGTTCCTTCATCTTTTCTTTCAACTATAACAACAAAAATCCAACCAACTAAACATAATGAGAAATTAACTTCTTTCAAATAACTTGATAGCTCTCATCGCCATGAAACAATACATATGGAAATCGAGACTGTAGAAACTCAAAATCTGTACTTAGAGGGGCCCAAAACTGAATTACTGTCATCAACAAAATTTTTTTTAAATCCATGTGAGCATAACAGATTTAATTTACTATTTTAATTCTTAGCTAAACTTATATAAAATGAGAAAAGCATTATATTTAGGAGGTAAAGCTTTTGAACCATCGTTCTCCCCAATAACCTTGATTAGGATTGATTATTAGAAATAACCAATACAATTAAAACTCAATGTTCAACTTTCATCCTTTATCTTAATGTATAATAAAAGTACTTTTATGTTATGGAACCAAACAAGTCACACAGTAGTACCCGCTGGGAAACCTTTTCAAACTCCAAAAGAAGTGTTCAGTTGTGGTACCTTCTAGTCTGTTCTTAGATTTTTATTTTTGACCATGTTTCAGTTCACAGTAATAAATATATTGTTTCCCTACCATTTTGGAATTAAGAATCTCCACATTCTGAGGGTGATAAACTGTCATTAAGGCTTCAGTGTTCACAGTTTCACTATATTCTCTCTGACATGTCAAAGATTGTACCTCAATATTATCAGATGGATCTATAGAATGAGAACCAATAGGAACCTGAAAAAGAAAGAATGTAATTGTCCCAAATGTATGCTTAATAGTTTTTGCAAAAAAAAAGTGGTAATGTTTTATCAATCATTTAAAAATCACAATTTATATGCATAATAAATATTATTAAAAACAATGTCTCAAGGAGACAGGAAGACATTGTCTTTCTATCAAAATTAGAGATGACAATAAACTAATGTCTGTAACAGAAAACTCAGGACCTAAGTAAACCAACCCACTCCCCTACAAAAGCAATAAAACACTAGCAAAATGTTGACATAGGAAAAACAGAACATAGAAAATTAACATAGAACACAGGAAATTAACCAAAGGCACAGAACAAGCTGAAAAGCATTGCTTCAAGTAAAACTAATGAATCTCAACAAGAACATCATAGTCTGTGAAGTTTGAACTTGAGGTTATTCCTATCTGCCACCCTCTCAAGCTCAGATGTGTGGTAGTCATGAAAGCCAGCATTATAACAGCCAAGGATCCTTCATTGAATCTTAACTAAAATCCTCATCCCTAGGACACAGTCAGTATTTTGACCCAAGTATCGGCTACATGGAAATTTTCCATTTTATCATTTTATTTGATTCAGAGCTCAGCTCTGTGAATATAGTCCCTTCCCCATGTTAGAAAAAACAATAGCAATATGCTAAGTACACTACAGTTCATAAATCTAATTATGGGGAAAACGGGAGTCTGGCTATAAACATAAAAGGAAGACCTGGAGAACTAGCTGACCATGGGGAACTTTGAAAGATTCCAATGTATTCTTGAGGATCTAAATGTATGCATGAATGTGCAGGGCTATGAACCTGGCCAGGAAAAGAAACAATATTCCAAAAATGTATATGGAACCACAAAAGACCCCTAATAGCAACAACGATCCCAAGAAAGAACAAAGTTGGAGGAAACATACAACATAATATCAAACTATCCAATAAGACCATAGTAATCAAAACAGCATGGTATTGGCATAAAAACAGACATATAGATCAATGGAACATAATAAAGAGCCCCAAAATAAATCCACACCTTTATAGTCAACTAATATTTGACAAAGGAGGCAAAAACATACAACGGGCTAAAGACAGACTATTCAATCAGACTATTCAATATATGGTGTTGGGAAAATTGGACAGATAAATGCAAAAAAAAAAAAAAAATGAAACTAGACCACCTTCTTATACCACACAAAAGAATAAACTCAAAAGGGATTAAAGACTTAAATGCTAGACACGAAACCATAAAAATCCTAGAAGAAAACATAGGCAGTAAAATCTTGGACATTTCCTGTAGCAATGTTTTTTTCTGATATATCTCCTCAGGCATGGGAATCAAAAGAAACAATAAATAAATGGGACTATATCAAACTAAAAATTTCTACACAGCAAAGGAAACCATCAACAAAATGAAGACAAGCCACGGAGTGGGAGAACATATTCGCCAATATATCTGATAAGGGTTTTAAATCCAAAATTTGTAAGGACCTTATAAAACTCAACACAAAAAAACAAACAATCCAATTTAAAAAATGGGCAAAGTACCTGAACAGACACTTTTCCAAAGAGGGACATGTAGATGGACAATAAATATATGAAAAGATGCTCAATGCCACTAATCATCAGAGAAATACAAATTAAAACCACAATGAGATATCACCTGGCACCTGTCAAAATGGCTATCATCAATAAAGCAACAAACAAGGGTTGATAAGGATGTGGAGAAAGGGGAACACTTGTGCACCATTGGTGGGACTGCAGATTGGTGCAGCCACTGTGGAAAGCAGTATGGAGTTACCTAAAAAAATTAGAAATGGAATTGTCTTATGACCCAGCAATTCCACATCTGGGAATTTATACAAAGAAACCCAAAACACTACTTTGAAAGAATATATGCACCCCTATGTTCACTGCAACATTATTTATAAGAGCCAAGATTTGGAAGCAGCCCAAGTGTCCATCAGTAGATGTGTGGATAAAACAGCTATGGTACATTTATACAATGGATTACTACTCGGCCATAAAAAAGAAAATTTTATCCTTTGTGACAACAAGGATGGACCTGGAGAATATTATGCTAAGTGAAAAAAGCCAGTCAGAGAAAGACAAGTACCATATGATTTTATTCATATGTGGAACAAACTGAATTAACAAATAAAATAGAGATAAACTCATAAAGAGGAGGTTGACAGCTCTTGGAGTGAAGGGTGTGAGGAGGCAGGGGTTATGGAAGGACTGAGCCATAAAGGAAAGTAAAAAGAGAAAGAACTCAGGGACATAGACAACAGTGTGGTGATTGTTGGGGGAAGCAGTGGGTAGAGGATGACGAGAATATAGGAGGGATAAATGGTGATGGAAACAAAATTAAATTAAATTAATTTTTAATTGAAAAAGATGTAAACAGAGATCTCAAAAAAAGATATAAAGATAACAAATAAACATATGAAAAGATGCTCAACATCATATGTCATTAAGGAATTAAACACCTATTAAAATGGTTAAGAACCAAAACAATGACAACATCAAGTGCTACTGAAGATGTGGAACCACAAGAACTCACATTCACTGCTGATTGGAATACAAAACAATACAGCCACGTTGGAAGATGGTTTGGCATTTTCTTACAAAGCTAAATATAGTCTTACTTTATGATTTAGCAATTGTGCTCTTAGATATGTACCCAAATGATTTAAAAAGTTATGTCCACTCAAAAATCTATACATGTATGTTTATAGCAGCTTTATTCATAACTGCCAAATATTGGAAGCAACCAAGGCATCCTTCATTAGGTGAATGTAAAAATATTGTGGTATATCCAAAAAATGGAATACTTTTAAGCAATAAAATCACTGAAGTATCAACAAAACTAAGAGTTGTTTTTTTGTTTGTTTGTTTTGTTTAAGATAAACAAAATTGACAATACTTCAGGTAGATTTACCAAGGACAAAAAAGAGGAATCAAACAAATAAAATTAGACACGAAAGAGGAGACATTACAACATAAATAAAAGATCATAGGAAACAACTATGGTCTCATTTGTACAACAAAAGTTTTAAATTTTGATATACTCCAATTTGCCTATTTTTTCATGTATTTTTAGCTCTAAAGCTAAGAAAAAATTGCCTAATATAAGGTCATGAAGATTTACTCCTGTTTTCTCTAAAGCAGCGGTTCTCAACACGTGGGTCATGACCCCTTTGGGGGGGGGGGGGTCAAACGACCCTTTCACAGGGGTTGCCTAAGACATAAGAGTAGCAAATTATAGTTATGAAGTAGCAACAAAAATAATTTTATGGTTGGGAATTACCACAACATGAGGAAATATATTAAAGGGTAGAGGCATTAGGAGATTCCAAAATGGTAACGGAGTGAACGGAAGCTACGCACACCATTTCCCAGAACCAAACTCGAATTACAACTATAACACAGACAAATCGACAGGAAAAAGCAACAGAAAAGCAGCTTGCGAGGACCATATAACCAGGGACACTGACTCGATCCAGGTAGGATTGCGAAGGTGCGAGAGGGGGCCTGGGAGCCCACAGACAGCAGTGGCCTTAGCTGGGAGTAGCGCCCTCAGGTTAAACTCCCAAGCGGCTCCTCAGTGCAGAGCCGGAACAGAGGCTAAAAAAGACACAGCCGCTCACCTTGGGCTCTGGCAGAGGGAGGGCAGACTGGACTGGAACTGTGTGGGGAACTCAGGATTTGGAGGGCACTCAGAGCGTTTGCTGAATTGCTGCCACTCAATACAGTGGCCATCTTGCTCCTTCCCAGGACTCTTGGGAGAGGCAGCAGTTCCTCCCTCAGAGATCCAACCCCACCCTGTGGGCCATTGAAATGCTAATAGAGGCTTACTAACAACCAGCATCTGCCCCATCCTTGGGAAATCCCCTTAAGCTGAGCACCTGAGGGAGTTTTTCAATCAACTGACAACCCAAAACTCTTCAAGTAATCTCCAATGATAGCCTCCAGGCAAAAAGCTAGAGGATAACAGTACCTTTTCTGGTTTAGCAACTTTAATCAGGAAAGTGAGACTTGACAGTGGGGTTTAACGTGGGTCCTCCCTCGCTCATCTAAACCCAGGACAGGGAGCCACAAACAGCAGAATACCAACACCCACAGGGAAACTTGACAGGCTCCAAAGCCCACTGTGATAGTCAAAATGGTGATACACAGAAACAAGAGCCAAATGAAAGAACAAGAGACCTCCACCAAAGATGAGATAAATGAGGTGCAGTTAAGCAAGTTAACAGAACGAGAATTCAGATCAATGATCTTGAGGAAACTCAACAGCATGTGTAAGGACACAGAGATGCTGAAAATAAACCAATTGGAAATTAAAAACCACCAAGAAGAGATCAAAAACGACGTATCAGAAATAAAGAACACATTGGAAGGTCTAAAGAGCAGAGTAGAGGAAGCTGAGGACCTGATCAGTAAATTAGAAGACAGGGTAGAAAAAAATAAACTAATCAGAAAAACAAAAGGAAAAAACGGTTAAAAAACAGGAAGACAGCTAAAGAGAACTGTGGGACAACTGGAAATGTAAGAACATTCGCATCAAAGGAGGCCCCGAAGAAGAAGAAAATAGTGACAGAAAACTTCCCTAATTTGGTGAAGTAAGAAGGCATTCAAGTTCAAGAAGCACAGAGAGCCCCAAGTAAGAAGAACCCAAACAGGCCCACACCAAGACACACAGTAATCAAAGTGCCAAAAATCAAAGACAAAGAGAGAATCCTAAAAGCAACAAGAGAGATGCAACAGGTTACCTACAAAGGAAACCCCATAAGGCTCTCAGCTGACTTCTCAAAAGAAACACTACAGGCCAGAAGGGAATGGCATGAGGTAATCAAGGTCATGAAAAACAAGGATCTGAATCCAAGACTACAATACCCAGAAAGGCTAACATTCAAAATAGAAGGTCAAATAAAGAGCTTCCCAGACAAAAAAAGGCTAAGGGAATACATTAGCACCAAACCAGCACTGCAAGAAATGTTAAAA